AAGGCAAACAAGTCTCTTCTTTGGGACAAATACCTGCTTGTGCTTCTTCTGCATTTTAGAAATGGTGATATGGGGCTGGAAAGCTGGCTCAGCGGTTAAGAGCACTAGCCGTTCTTCCAGAGGTCTTGAGTTCAATTCCCAGCAACCACATGGTGGCTCACAACCATCTGTAATGAGGTCTGGTGCCCTCTCCTGGTGTGCAGGCAGAACAATGTATAAACAGTAAATAAATAAAAAAGTCCCCGCCCTTGACAGGGACAGCAAGCGATTAGGACACGTGCCTTCCAAGGTTTTCACCCTGATAAACTGAAACAGTTCCATTAACGAATTACAGAATGGGGCCAGAGAGGTGGTTCAGCGGGTTAAAGTGTTTGCTGACAGGCCCGCGGACTTGAGTTCGATCCCTGGAACCCACATGGTGGGAGGAAGAACCAGAGCAACAGTAAACTGTCCTCCTCGACCTCTACACCCATGCCTTGGCAAGGAGCCCACCACCATAAACAAGTTTTTACTTGAACGATGAGGAAATAGTAGTTACCTCATCCGATTGCTCTGTTGTTATCGCCTTTCTATACCTGATATTCCCCCACTTTGACTTCCAGTAGCCTCCTCCACCAATCCCAACCCAATTTGTAATATAGATTATTTATTTATTTTTTGTTTGATTGGTTTTGGTGCTTTTTTGAGATAGGGTTTCTCTGTGAAACAGTCTTGACTGTCTTGGAACTCGCTCTAAACCAGGCTGGCTTCGAACTCACAGAGATCCGCCTGCCTCTGCTTCCTGAGTGCTGGGATTAAAGTCGTGTGCTACCACTGCCTGGCTGGATTATTTTGTGTGGCAAAATTCAGAGAACGTGTTTTGTTTAAAAAAAAAAAAAAGACAAACATTCCAGATGTTACATGAATATGAGTATTTTCTGCTTACTGAAAATTTGCCAAAGTAATTGGTTGTGTGGTAATGGATGCTTTAGCTACTTTTAATTTTTTTAAAATTATCTTATGTGTATGAGTTTTTGCCTGCGTGTATGGATCTGGACCGCATTCTGTGCAACTCAGAAAAAGGCATCAGATTCCGAGACTGGAGTTACACATGGTTGTGAGCCACTGCGTGGCTGACGGGAACTGAACCTGGGCCCTCTGGAAGTGCAACAAGTGCTCTTAACTAGTGAGTCGTTTCTCCAGCATTTATTTAAAAATTATTTTATGTGTATGTCTGTGTCCTTGAGTGCGTATCTGTGAGAGGCCAGGAAAGGGTGGTGAATCCGCTGTAACTGGAATTATAGATGGTTGTGAGCTGCCACGTGGGTGCTGGGAGTCATATCCAGGTACTCTGGAAGAGCAGCCAGTGTTCTTAATCACTGATCCATTCCTCCAGCTCCCTCTTTCATTCTTTAAAAAATTTACTTATTATTTTATTTGCATGGGTGTTTTGCATGCATTTATATATGTGTATCACATGTATGCAATGCCCTCAGAGGCCATTGTCAGTCCTCTAGAAATGGCGTTACATATGGTTGATATGTAACAAGCTGCCATGTGGGTGCTTGGAACCAACGCTGGTTCTCTACAAGAGATACAAGTGCTCCTAACTGCCAAGCCATCTTTCCAGCCCTGAGCCATCTCTAGACTCTCATTCTTTTATTCTTAAAATCAGTATTCTATGTGATTAAAAAAGTATTATTCTAGCCAGGTGGTGGTGGCAAACGCCTTTAATCCCAGCACTTGGAAGGCAGAGACAGGCAGATCTCTGAGTTTGAGAACAGCCTGGTCCACAGAATGAGTTCCAGAACAGCCAGAGCTGTTAAACAGAGAAACCTCTCTTGGAAAAACAAACAAATAAAAAACTCCCAAAGAGGAGATTATATTTAAAAAATCTGCTGATCTTGTTACTCCTTAAAGGGGTTTCAAGTAAGTAAACAAGCAAGCATTATAAGTGCAGGAAAAATTACCCTGAGGTTACATTACCCTGACATCTAATATATAAACAAATATTTTGTCATAAACAGGTCAAGTCAATACATATTTATTTTGAAACTTGTATCATCAAACCCTTCCTTAAATTTAAGATACTGAATATGACATTTCTGAGGAGAGTGAGTTCATAACTTAGATGAAATTCTGTAAGGTACATATGCTCAGTGTACAATCTTTTAAATTGTATACCTATAACAAGAGAATGAAAAGTGTGTATTTAGGGGCTGGAGAGATGGCTCAGAGGTTAAGAGCACTGGCTGCTCTTCCAGAGGCCCTGAGTTCAATTCCCAACAACCACATGGTGGCTCACAGCCATCTGCAATGAGATCTGGTGCCCTCTTCTGGCCTGTAAGCATACATATAGACAGAACATTGTATACATAATAAATAAATAATTTTTTTTTTAAAAAAAAGGTGTGTATTTAGGCGTTGATGTACCCTTGTCAAGGTTTTTTTCAGTACTTCTCAAGATGATTGTAACTGACTCTGAAAAGTGATGTAATCTGGTAATAACTTCATAATTCAAATCAAGGAATTTGCTTAAAAAGTAAGGGCAGGGGTGTAAACGGAGGTTTTTCTGTCCTAACAGGTTCCATAGTCACTTTTAAAATAACCATTCAAAAAACAAAAAAACAAAAAAATAAAATAACCATTCAGAGGCTTAATACATAATTAGAAACCATTTAGCCTATTGCTCAGGCTTATTACTGACTAGCTCTTACAACTTAAATTAACCCGTTTCTATTAATCTATATTTTGCCATGTGGCTTCATGGCATTACCTGTTCTCTAGTACACTATTGCTCCAGTGGCTGGCTGGCATCTGCCTGACTCTGTCCTTCTTCTCCCTGTATCTCTGCTTGGATTTCTCACCTGGCTATATCCTGCCTTGCTATAGGCCAACACAGTTTCTTTATTAACAAATGGTAATAAAATATATTCACAGCATACAGAGGGGTTATTCCACACACAGCACAGGGCTTCAAGATGGCTCAGCAGGTAAAGGAATTCAAGATTGATGACCTGAGTTAGAGAGTCCTCCAAGTAGGAGAAAACTGACTTCCCAAAACTTACCCACTCATCTAGACAGACACACACAGACACAAAGTAAACTGATAAATGTAATTTTAAAGTGAAGACTTGGGGTTGGGATGTAGATCAGCTGGGTTGACTGATGGCCTAACGTGCACAAAGCCCTGGGTTGATCTCCAGCACCCCATAAAACAGACGTGGTGGTGTTGTATGAAAGGAGAGAAGGTTAGCACACCTCTTGACAAGGATGGAAGAAGCCCTTGGGCCTAATAACATGCATATGGTTAAGTTAAAAAAAAAAAAAAAACCAGACATGGTGGCTTTCACTTGTGATCCCAGCACTTGGGAGGTGGTGGCAGGAGATTCAAAAGTTCAAGGTCATCCTGAAATACAGAGTGAGTTCTAGGTGTGAGCTAGAATTCCTAAAAAAGGTCAGGTTTTGTAGCACTCACATTTAATCCCAGCATTCAGAGGGAGAGGCAGGCAGATTTTATGAAGAGTTCAAGCCCAGCTTGGTCTACATATTAAGTTCCAGGCTAGTCAGGGCTATGTAGACAAATCCTGTCTCAAAAAACAGACAAACAGGGGCTGGAGAGATGGCTCAGTGGTTAAGAGTACTGACTGCTCTTCCAGAGGACCTGGGTTCAATTCCTAGCACCCACATGGCAGCTCACAACTGTCTGAAGATCCAGTTGCAGGGGATCTGACACCTTCACGCCAATAAACAATAAAAAAAAATATTTAAAAAAAAAACAAAAAAACAAACAAACAAAAAAAACAGACAAACAAAAATTTAGATTTCCTGAGAAAACGGTGTCTTCAAAGACTTTCCCCATCTATATTGGAATGTTGGTTGGCTTGACTTGATCTTGTTCAAGTCTTGCGCAAGGATATTAGTCCGGGTTCTCTAAAGGAACAAAGCTTTGTTTATATATATTCTCTATGTGTAGGAGGTTGTCTCACCTGGGAGAACCCAAGAATCCAGCTGTTGTTCTGTCTGCGAGGCAGCATGTCTCAGCAGTCCCCTCCTGGCCCTGGAGGCCTCAAGGATTCTCGGAGAGCTTCGGGTTTTCAGTCTATGTTGGGATCTCAAAGAAGTTGGTCCTAATATTTGTGGATGTTTTTGTTTTGTTTTGAGACAGGGTTTTCCTATGTTGCCCTGGCAAACCTGAAATTCACTATGTAAACCAAGATGACCTCAAACCCATAAATACTCTGCCTCCTCAGTGATGTGATTAAAGGCATTATGCCACCTTGCCGGGGTGGGTGTTTTTTGTTTTGTAGACGGGGTCTTCTCATGTAGTCCTGGATACCTTCCAAGTCCCAGAAATCTGCTTCCTGAGCCTGGCTCTGCCATCATTCTTAACCTCTGAACTATCTCTCCATCCCCTTTGTTTTTTTAAACAGGGGTCCTAGCCTCCCAAATGCTAGGATTACAGGTGTGTGCCATCACACCTAACTCAGCTTTAAAAAACTTCCCAGATTGACTCAACCACAGGTAGGGTACAGGGACTTAGTTGCTGAAAGATCCCAGGACGGCCATCAACTTTGAAAGACAGCACTACCATCATGGAAGCTGCTGACTGGAAAGACCGTCTCAACTATACATTGTACCAGCGTTAGTAAGTCCTGGCCTCTCAAGTCAAGGCCTGTGCTTTGGCCTTGACTCTGCTAATAGCTGCTTGACCTAAGAAAGTGACTGTGTCAACAACCATTTCTTCATTTGTTAAGTGGAAGCAGTAAAAGGACCAGCACTTCTTTAAAAAATTAAGTCAGGCTACACTTTAGTCCTAGCATGCAGGAGCAAAGGCAGTCAGATCTCTGTGAGTTGGTGGCCAGTCAAAGCTACATAGTGAGACCCTGTCTCAGAACAAACAGAGCCGGGGGGTGGTGGTGCCTGCCTTTAATCTCAGCACTTGGGAGGCAGAGGCAGGTGGATCTCAGTGAGTTCGAGGCCAGCCTGGTCTACAAAGCAAGTTCCAGGACAGCCAGGACTATTACACAGAGAAACCGTGTCTCGAAACAAAACAAAAACAAAAGCAAAAACAAAACAAAACCCAAACAGAAAACTTGTTAGGTTTGTTCAGTGGGAAGTCAGAGAATTTGCAGGTGCTGGTTCTCCTTGAACAAAGTGTGTCCTAGGGATGAAGCTCCTATCCTTGTGCTTGATGCCAAGTACCTTCAGCCCTGAGCTCTCTTGCTGGCCTATGACCAGCAATAAAACAAAATTAAGGCAGAGTTGGTATGTGATCTAGGCTGCCTTTGAGCTCACTAGTCAACCCTGTTATTAGGTGCTAGCAGAAAATTCAGAATGGATTTTCAGAGACGGGAAGTTGAGCATATGGATGAAGCAGTGACGGAGATCTCCCTGCCTCTGCTGCCCCCACCCCCACCCCAGGCTGGGATTGAAGGTGTGTATCACCACCACCTGGCACACATACTTTATTTGAGATATATTTACTTTTATGTGTGTGTACATGTTTGGGTGTGTGTGGAAGTCAGAGGGCAACCTGGACCACATGGGCTCTGGAGGTTGAACTCAGGTCTACAGGCTTGGCAGCAAGCACTCTTCCCCTAGGGAGTGATCTGTCTGGCCCTTAATGGTAGATCTGTTACCCCTGGGGCTTGTCTAAGGGAGGGGAGAAGCAGCTGGAACCTTCGCTGCTGGGCTACATTCATTCAACGTTGTTTTTATACTCAGTCTTTGAGCTGAGCAGTGGGAAGGCCGTCATACAAGAGATGCCCAAATACCAGTGATTAGCAGCCTTTGGAAAGGGCCTCGAATCAAGAAAAGAAACTCCTGAAGAATCACAGCTCTTCTTGGGCCATTAGGGCCACCAGCGCTGCCTGCACCTCTTCCGCCCGAGCTTGGGGCAGCAGACAGTCCTGAATGAGGGCCACTGCAGCTGCCTCTGTCAAGCTGTCAAAGTCCTGGCATGTCTTAACAGGTAGGTGGCCTGCCAGCTCACAGAGTGCAACATTGAAAGCCCCGCTTTCCTTGATTCCAAAGCTGGACTTCCGGGCCCACAGAATGACTCGGAGCCCAGTGAGGCCTGCGGAAGATGATGCCGGCCCGGGTGGAGCGCCCCGGGTCACAAATAAATTATGTGCAATCTCATGGTTACTCAGATAGTCAGTGGCCCGGCATACCCTGCGAATTAAGCCTTCCATGTCAGGCCCTGGCCCACTAGTGTAGAAGAGGAAGCCAGGGGCTGGGAGGGCCTGCAGCAGATGGATATAGCCCTTTGGGTCCAGAGGTGTGCTTGGGGCGCCCTCCACAGGCAGTGGGTGGGCCAGGTAGTACCCATGCAGGTGGAGATGGTTCACGGAGGCCAAACCTCCCAGGCTGTTGAAGCCGACCCGGAAGCCTGGGTGCAAACTCAGTAGCACAGCTTCAAGCCCCGCCTGCAGTGTTCCAGGCAGCAGGCGCTGGGGGAGCCCAAGAGCAGGCTCAGGCACCAGCAGCACGTGCCCCCATTCCAGGGGACTGACATTGATCAGCACAAGGATGTCCTCTTGCTTTGGGCCCTCGGGCTCCCGTCGTTGCAAACGGAAAAGGACTTCTCCAGGTCGGATTTTATTGAAGTTAAACAGTTCGGGGTCAAACTCCTGCCTCACACTTTGGATATTCTGGGGTGGCCTCCTCTGTACTCCTCGCTCTACATTCAGCTGAGCTACAAAGCCCACGGAGCCAGGGAGGATTTGGGTCTGCAGATCTTCCAGGCGGTATCGAAAGAGGCCCAGCTCCACTCGCTGCCTCCACGCAGAACAGAGGGCAGAGTCAAAGCGGGACCTTGGCAGTGAGTCCAGGGTGAGGCCTGCATTCCCTGGCCACTGGATTCCCTTCCCGATGAGGTCTTTCTGTCCATAGACAAAGTCCGGGATGCCTTGCTCCTCCCAGTCCTCAGGGTTCGGAAGGAGCAGATAGGAAGTTTCCTGTGAATCCTGTGAACCATCTGGAGCAGCCATGAAGCTACCTGAAACAGAGATTAAAAAGTACATAAATAAGAGACAGCCCGTTTCCAGAGGTGGTTTTTGTTTTTTTTTTTTTGAGACAGGGTTTCTCTGTAGCTTTGGTGCCTGTCCCGGAACTAGCTCTTGTAGACCAGGCTGGCCTCAAACTCACAGAGATCCACCTGCCTCTGCCTCCCGAGTGCTGGGATTAAAGGTGTGCACCACCACCGCCTGGCTGCTTTTGATTTTTTTTAACAACAACAAAAAAGCCTGCACCACCACAGCCCAGCTCAGAGATTATTATTATTTATTGTTTTATATTTATTTTATCTTTTTTTTTTTTTTTTGAGACAGGGTTTCTCCGTGTAGAGTTTCTCTGGCTGTCCTAGAACTGGCAGATAGATCCATCTACCTTTCCCTCCTGAGTACTGGGATCACCACCTCAGCCCGGCCAGAGATTATTTTTGAATCATGTTTTTACTCTAATTCTAAAACTGAGAAAATTGATGAAGTCAAGGATTTGCCGTGCATAGGCGAAAGGATGCCAAACCAGTCAGCTCATGAACGGGGATAATGTGAAATTCAAGGTTCGATGCTGCAGGATTTCACCCTGGTCAGCACTGACGAGCAGAAGCTTAGAAGCAAAGGAGCTGAAATGAACCAGACCCCTCATTTGGACCGTTTTTAAAATCCTGAAAAATCAAATAAAACAAAAGAAAAAATAAAAGCAAGAGATAATATGACCTTGGCAAAATATTTAGAAAGCATAGACATTGTTCATAATCCTATAATCTGCAAACGAGGGTGCTTTTACTGAATTAAAAATATAGCCAGGCATAGTGGTGCACCCAGTACTCGGGAGGCACAGGCAGGTGGATCTTTGAGTTCAAGGACAGCCTGGTCTACAAAGTGAGTTCCAGAAGAGCCAGAGACACACAGAGAAACCCTGTCTTGAAAATCAAATATGTGTGTGTGTAATAAAAATATATTTTGAGCTGGTTATGGTGGCACATTCCTTTAATCTCAGTACTCGAGAAGCAGAGGCAGTTGTTTTTACTGTTTGGTTGTTTTTGTTTTTGAAACCGGAGATGATGGCAAACACTCTGATCTCAGCACTTAGGATGCAGAGGCAGAAGGATCTCTGTGAGTTCAGAGACGAGCCTGTATAGCATGGCTACTTGAGAGACCCTGTCTCAAAATCAGTCAATCAATTAAAATAAATTTAAACACAGAGGGAAAAGGAACTCTCAAAACAATAAAGTTGGGGGGCTGGAGAGATGGCTCAGCAGTTAAGAGCACTGACTGCTCTTCCAGAGGTACTGAGTTCAATTCCCAGCTCACAACCATCCGTAATGAGATCTGGTGCCCTCTTCTGGTTTGAAGGCATGCATGCAGACAGAATATTGTCTATATAATAAATAAATCTTTAAGATAAATAAATAAAGGTGAAGGGGCTGGCAAGAAGGCTCACTGTGTAAAGGTGCTTGATGAATATATATTAAACGGGGCTTTAGTAGACTGTTTTACTTGATACTGCCTGGGCAGGCCAACAATGGTAGTTGCTCAGTCCACAAGGATGAGTGTCTCAGCAATCCCAATCCGGTGTTGAAGGCCTGGAGGGTTCCTGGATAGCTACTGGGCTTTAGTCTGAGTTGAAAGCTGGAAGAGGCTGGTTCTAATGTCAGCAAATGAACTCCATAGTGCAGTCACCCGATAGATGACTTATCAGCAAGTGAAGGCAAACGGGCCACAAGCAGTTTCCTTCTTCCATTTCCCTTTTGTATGAGCTACTACCCGAAGGCAGCGTGCACATTCCCACTTCAAATAATCTGACCAAGGAAATCCCACAGGAGTGCCCAGCAGTTTTGCCTTCTCCTTGATTCCAGATCCAATCAATTGACACCAACATTAACTGTCACAGAATCCACCTTTCCTTCCTCTTCCCGGCAGCTTGGAATCCCCACTTTTCCACGCAGTGTAAGTTTGTTCATTCGTAAGTGCATCTGGTAATTATTTGAATGTCCTGGAGGTTAAGATGAGAAGGGAGCAATTTTGGTTTCCACGGCGGGAAGCTTGAACTTTGCAGGAGTCAAAGGACGCCGGATAGCTATAACGATAAAAGGCAGTGGGGATCTGTGGACAGGACCGATCTCTAAAAAGCCTGAGTCCTGAAACATCACTGAAACGGAATCTGTTTTGTAAAATGGAAGCCTACCTTGTCAACTGTTCCACGAATGGTCGATAACTGCACAATCAAACAGCTTCAGGAGGCAGCAGGGTGGTAAGCTACTTCTGGAAGAGTCGGCAAGGTGGCGGAGGCTGCAGCTCGTATCCAGTAAGACAGTCTGGGACTGTCCCTCTCGGCAGAGGGGCACCGGATCTTCTCCGGGAAGGTTACCTGTTCCACCCAGGACACAGGTCTCCAGCACCTGCTTTAGGCGAGGCGGATGCATCTCCAGGATCTGCGCGGAGACGCTTCCGGGGGAACGCAACGAGGGACGTAGTGGCCCCGACGCAAGCGCAGTTTGCACCACACGCGCGAGGCGCGCTCTGTCCCGCCCACCAGGAGGCGGGGCCATGAGGCCTGGGCTCCGCCCCGGCGCGTCCGGCTCCTCCCCCGGGCCCTGCCTCCAGCTCTCCTGGGCCCGCGGGGAGCCGGGAGCGGAGACCCTGAGCCGTGCGGAGGGTGCCAGGGCGCTGGACGCAGGGGCGGGCCCGGGGGCGGAGGCCAAGCAGCGGTTGCTGTGGGGACGGGACGGGGCGGGGCGGGGACGCGGCCCCGAGGACGGAAGTGAGAAAGTTGCCGGAGTCCCGGGGAGAGTTGGTGAAGCTGTGCGCGCACCGCGGCGATGGGAGGCTCGGGCAGTCGCCTGTCCAAGGAGCTGCTGGCCGAGTACCAGGTGCGCGGGGCATCAATTCTCGCGGAGCTCGCGTGCGGGCCCGCGCCGGGGAGTGGGGTTCGGGAGCCGGCGGCGGGGCAGCCGTGGTTTTCCGGCGACTTGCTGACCCATGTCTGGATTTGCCTTTCAGGACCTGACGTTCCTGACCAAGCAGGAGATCCTTCTGTGAGTGCTGTCCCAATCCCTGCCCTCCACCGCGGGATTGCCAAGGGAAGGGAGCTTTGGGGGTGCTGTCCTAGCGGGGGCTTGACTGGACACCTCTCCTCCGAGGGTGGGGCCGGGTTTCACGGAAATTAAGATCAGCGGATATAGAACCGGAGGCCCAGAGTGCAAGTCTTGCCCGCGCTGGGATCTCAGCTTTGCACCACGCATACATACACTCTGTGTATCCAGGAAAAGGTGGACTGTTTGAGCCCCGCTGGCCTCCTCACTGCTGAACTTCCTGTTATCTTCTGGAACAGCTGTGGCTCTGTGCGGACTTTGCCCTCTGGCAAAAGCAAGAAGCCTTGAGGAGCTGGCTCACCTTCCTCCCAACTTTACCTGTTTAAAATACAGTAACCAACCGTTAACATTTACTGAGCCCAGGAGCCACTGAGTGATTCCCACATTACTTAAATCTTCAGGAGGAGCTTACCAAACAAGGAAACAGGTTCAGAGGTTTCTGGTGACTTGCTTATAAAGCACACTGTAAGTGCTTTAATGGCCAGGATGCTTGACCTAGGGAGGTTCCTGGTCTCCTCAAAGAAATTCCACTGGGAAAGAGGTGGTAGGTGAGAGAAGGGGGTCCCTGGAATGAAAGTGACATCGTGTTTTAGCTCTTTTCTCCCCGTTGTTTAGAGTCACTTATAGCTCCGACCCTAACCTCTCCATTCTTTAGGAATCTTTGAAATTGTTGCTGCCATTGTTAGGGTCCAGGACCTTGTTCTCCAGGAGCCCTAACCAGCTAGGCTGGGTGGACTATCTGCCCTCAGTAGGCTGATTAAAGGGATAATGTTGAAAAGCACAGGAATGAAAGATATCCACTGTGGCCACACTGGGAAACGGAACACAGAGGTCCTGTGATAACCCCCTCCCTCTGAGTGAACCTTCATGTCTAGCTGACATGAGGCTTATATTTAAATTAGGGCATAAGGTATGTGACACTAAGCAGTCTGGTCAGGATGTGGTCTTTCCATCAGTCTCCGCTCCATTCTCTTATGAAAGGTGACAAGTCACTGGAAGTGTGTGACATCCCATCCCTGTAGACAGTTCCTCCTTGGCTGACACCAGGCTTCATCCTTCTCACATGAGATTCCTGGGGAGTTCCCATACCTTGGGGACAACTTGTTCTGTAGCCTGACAGCCAAAGGGAATGGCACGGGTATCTCTAGATTATATAGAGTGCCTGATACAGTGTCCTCAGACACACATGCCTCTCTTCCATAAATACCCACCCTAAGAAGGGACTCCAGGCCTCTGCTACTTTGTGACTGACTTCTCTCTGGCTGAAGGTTACCCAGTGACTGAAAGTCTCGGTCATGTGACTTACTAATACACCTGGTTTCTGCCACATTTAGAATGCAGAATGGGAATGTAGGAAACCCAGGGAGTCGGGCTGCCTGAAGGCACCAGTAAGTTCCCCTCTCTCTGCCAGAGCCCACAGGCGGTTTTGTGAGTTGCTTCCCCCGGAGCATCGGAGCGTGGAAGAGTCACTGCACACCCGAGTGTCATTCGAGCAGATTCTCAGCCTTCCAGAGCTCAAGGTTCAGTCCTTTATCCACTCTCCCCTCTCCCCATGTCATCCATCCTGTCTCTACTACGTTACTTAACTCTTCCTGCCATTCTGATTGGTTGGGAGCACATGCCACCACACCCTGGGTTAACTTTGATGATGGTATATACTTGTTTGTGTGTGGTTGTGTACACACATTAGTGCCAGTGCCCACAGAGTACAGAGGGCGTTGGATCCCCTGGTGCTGGAGTGACAGCTGCCCATCACGGGTGCTAGGAACTGAATTAGGGTCCTCTGCAAGAGCAGCACAGGCTTTTAACTGCTGAGTCATCTCTCCAGCCCACTCCCCTCTTTTTTTTTTTTTTAAAGATTTATTTATTTATTATGTATACAACTTTCTGCCTCCATGTACACCCACACGCCAGAGGAGGGCGCCAGATCTCATTACAGATGGTTTGGAGCCACCATGTGGTTGCTGGGAATTGAACTCAGGACCTCTGGAAGAGCAGACAGTTCTCTTAACCGCTGAGCCATCTCTCCAGCCCCACTCCCCTCTTTTTAAAAACAAGTTTTGGGGATTGAATGCACGTCTTTATGTTCACATGGCAAACACTTTACTGACTGGACTAACCCACCACTTCTTTTTTCTGATAGGGGTTTTACTATGTAGCCTTGGCTGGCCTTGAACTGGCTTCAATCCTCCATTCCCTGCCTTCTGAGCACTGGGATTAAAGATATCACCATGCCCAGTCTCACTGTGGAGTCCTAGCTAGCCTGGCTGGAACTCCCTATGTAAACCAGGCTATCCTTGAACTTTTGTTTTTTGTTTTTTTTTTTTTGGTTTTTCGAGACAGGGTTTCCCTGTGGTTTTGGAGCCTGTCCTGGAACTAGCTCTTGTAGACCAGGCTGGTCTGGAACTCACAGAGATCCACCTGCCTCTGCCTCCCGAGTGCTGGAATTAAAGGCGTGCGCCACCACCGCCCGGCTTTATCCTTGAACTCTTAAGAGAGTTTCACCTGCCTTTGCCTCCTTGGCGTAGAATTAAAAAGCATGCACCATAACACCTGTCTGTTATGAAATTTCTATGAAAAGAGCCTGGCTCTGTAACAAAATAATTGTTCAGTTAAGTATATTTCAAAATGACCAGCGTGGTCCAGCTGGAGGGTACTTGCTCCAAGTAGCTTAAAGCTAAAAACTCTTGCCTTGTAAGCCTGAGGACCTAAGTTTGACCTCTGGAACATATGGTGGAAGAGAATTGACTATAGAAAGTTATCCTTTGACTTCCACACGTGTGTGGTGGCATGTGCTCACATGTGCGCTTACAACCAGGGACCATCTCTGCCCCTTTCCTGGCTGGCTTAGTGGTCCCTCCTGAGCCCTCCATGTCCGACCTTCAGAGGTTCTCCCCTTCGAGCCTGGACTCCATGAAGTGCCACCACTGTCATCCAGAAGGGACTCAGTCATGGTGGCACATGCCTGTAACCCAGCACTTGGGAGGTAGAGACAGGAGGATCAGCCAGAGTTTGTCAGACCCTCCCTCAAGTTTCCGGCTGAGTTGGCTGAGCATGTCACCCAGGCAGTGCCCTGGGACATTCACGGAAGGCTTTCTTACCCAGGCCAACCCCTTCAAGGAGCGAATCTGCATGGTCTTCTCGACGTCCCCGACCAGAGACAGCCTGAGCTTCGAGGACTTCCTGGACCTCCTGAGTGTCTTCAGTGACACAGCAACCCCAGACATCAAGTCCCACTATGCCTTCCGCATCTTTGGTAAGCACCGTAAGCAGGACCCCGTTCCTTCCCACACAGGAAGTGGGGGCCAGGTGTGTGCCTGCAGAACACGTCTTGCGCATGTCCTTATTGCTCCCTGTGTCTGCCGCCTAGATTTTGATGACGATGGAACCCTGGACAGAGAGGACCTGAGTCGGCTTGTGAACTGCCTCACAGGAGAGGGCGAGGACACACGGCTCACTGCTTCTGAGATGAAGCAGCTCATTGATAATGTGAGCTGACTGTGCCCGCTGGGCCTGGGGGTGTCGGGTGGAAAGGGTTGGGGCTGAAGCCTAAAGCCCTCCCCTCTCCAGATCCTGGAAGAGTCGGACATCGACAGGGATGGGACCATCAATCTCTCGGAGTTCCAGCATGTCATTTCCCGCTCACCAGACTTTGCCAGGTGTGACAGGAGCTCCCTTGCATTCTGAGTACCCACTCACTCCGGGATAGTATGACAGGGATGTTTAAGGGTGGTCTTCCAGAGGGGACACACTAGGGACCTAGCCTACTCCAGTTTTTTTTTTTTTTTTGAGACAGGGTCTCATGTGGCTTAGGCTGACCTTAAACTCCGCCTGCCTCTGCCTCCCTCGTGCTAGTATTAAAGTTGCATACCACCACGCGTAACCTAGACACTGAACTTCTGGTCTTCCTTCCTCTTCCTCCTGAGTGCTGGGGTGCCTCATTTTTGTGGTACTAAAGACTGAACATTTTCAAACATTTTAGGCAAGCAGTCAGTCTACTGAGGTACATCTCCAGCCCCTCAAACAAGAATCTTAAACTGTGGCAGTGCAGGTCTATAATCCCAGCACATATCCGAGGCCAGCTTGGTGTACACAGGGAATTCCAGGCCAGCTAGAGCTTGTTTAGTCATGGGAGAGAGGTGGGTATGATCAGTAAGGTCTGCACCACCTTCTACCAGAGAACCAAACATGGGCCACGGTATAGCTCAGTGGTAGAGTTTATATGTGTAGCCCTGTGTCGGGCCCTGAGTTTGATCCCCAGCACCAAACCCAACTCACTCCTTCCTCCTGCAGCTCCTTTAAGATAGTCCTGTGATGGCTTCTGAGCACCAGCATCCTGTCCAAGACCTTTCCACTGCTGAGATGT